CTATTCCCTTTGGTCAAGTGATTTTTACCTCCCCGAGCCTCAGTTTCCCCATCTGGAAAATGCCATAGGGTTGCTGTGAGGATTAATTTAGCTCATCAAGTGTTTGGCAGAGCGCCCATGCCATGTATGCTCACATCTTCCTGGGGAGACGATGCGTGGTTTTCATGCGATTTGCAAGCTGATCTGAGAAGCCCTTTCTGCAGTCCCTTCCCAGTCTGACGATTGGCACTTCGAGGGTTTGAGACCCTCTTTCTCTTTTGTTCTGCCCCCCGCCCCCCAAATTTCCCTCCACCGGCGTCATCATAAAAGGGTCTCAGGCCATCGTTTCTTCTCCAGCACAGTCTCTCCTGGGGATGACGCTGTCACCTTGCCTCCATCAGCAGGGAGGGGCGGCAGTGGAGGCAAAAAGGAGAGGATTTCTGGAGAATCACTGAGCTGTGCGGAGTATGAGATTATTGCTTGGCAGTTGCCATGGGAACCTATAAACCAACTTTGCCGCTCAGAACCCAAAGTCATCTGGGGCTCCGGCTCCCAGCCTGCTGCCCGAGTGATGGCCTTGCCTCTCTCTCCTTTACCCTACCCCTGGGTCCTCGGCCCCACAAAGGCCAGCTGCCTTCTCCACGTTGCTTTGCCAGACCCATCCCTCCCTTCTTGGTTCTGGGCTCATGCCTCCCCCTGGGATGCAGGATGGTGTTTAGACATAGGGACTGAGGCTTGGCTGCCTGAGTTCAAAGCCCGGTTTTATCATTCCCAGCTGTGTGACACTGAGTGAGTTACTTAACCTCTCTGAGCCTTGGTTTCCCCAACTGTAAAATGGGGAGACCTAGTGTCCCCGTCTCCCAGTGATGTGATACACAGGAAGTGGCTAGCATAGCGCCCAGCGTGTAATTAGTACTCAATACCCATTAGCTGCTCTCATCCCTGTGCGTGGTTTTACATTCCCTGTTCTTCTTGGCCGTTGTCTGGGCAGGTGGATCCTTCTATCCATTCACCCCAAAGTTCGTGAGAGCTGAGAGGTTGGTGGATGGTGTTAAATGCAATCGATGTATTCATCCTTTGATTGGCTAAATATCTGCTCATCCCCTACTCTGTGCCAGGAGGTACCTGGAAATCCAGAGTTCATGCCCTGGACACACACACACACACACACACAAACACACACACACACACCCCACATGACTGAAGTGATCAGAACAATGGCCATGTCCAGAGCTGTGACGGCAGAGGTCAGAGAAGTCGCTGAATTTGGTTCTTGGGTCAGGCAGGGGCGGCTGCCTGGAAGAGGAAGAGCTGAGTCTCAAGGGGGCAGAGATATCAGCCAGAACAAAGCTGTCCAGGTGGAGGGGACACTGTGCCTAGAGTCACAGAAAAGACAAGAAATGGCACAGTTGTGCCTGTGTGCTTTGGGCAGCTGTGTGCTGGTAAATACTTAACCGGCTCTCCCCCCCCACCCCCAAAAGAACACCCCAAACCCAAACTAAAAATCCTGACTTTGTTGCATTTGCCATTTTCCCTGGTGTAAATATTCTCACTGTGGCCAATTTCAAGCTACCAATGTGATGTAACTAGGTGTGAATTGGAGAGAATATGTGCATCATTGGCTCTTGAGAGCCCGTATGAGTGGGCCACACCACACCACTCATGGGGTTTGAGGATTCAAGTGGGGGGGGAGGTATGTGGGGGTGGGGGTGGGAAGAGAAAGCCCAGTTCAGCACTACTGAGAGAACATTCCAGACAGTGAGGGGCATGACTCAAGCCTGCTTCAGCTAATGACTGGTCGCTTTTCTCTGAACGCCTTTCATATTCCTGATTCACTGATTCAGGAAGTCAACAAGCATTTCCCGAGCACCTACTATGATCATAATGCAAGGAAGGCCAGGGATGCATGGAGGATACTGACGATCCTTTGTGGGCGTCTGCTGTCCTGGTGCCTGGACACGGGCCAGTAGTTACCAACAAGGCAACTGGGAACACAACTTTGCCTCCCGCAGGCCCACAGCATCCCTCCCACCGACGCCTGGCTTTTTGGAAAACCTGCTTCAGAAGGTCTGGGATAAGGGTTGGGCATTCTCAGTTTCGGAGGCCCAGGTAACTATGGTTACAGGTTGGGTACCTGCCCCTCCCTCCAGTCCCTCATTGTAGGACACACACACGTCTTGTCCCACCAAGATCAACCATCTCTCTCACTTCTGGTGACTGTGCACTCCCCATCATTGTTTAGTAAATGACTCAGGATACACAGAAACCGTTTTGTTGGAACACACTCTATTCCATAATGACTGTTCAGTTCAATTAGCTCTCAGCGGCCTGAAAGGCAGACACGGGGCGCTCGGATGCCTCCCCACCTTCGTTTGAAATTGGATTTAAGGCGGCGGGTACTGGGGGGTGGGTGAGGGGATGAATATTTTATCGCCTCTTCCTCCTCGATGTTCCGCCTGTTTCTTCTCATTTCCTTCCATGTTTCCCCCCCTGCACGCCGGCGGATCGCAGACTGTAAATTTGAGGGGAAATTGTCAACGTGCAAACGTGATAAACAAACATGTTGCTTTCGCGAAGACGATGCGATGATCACCTAGATTTACAGCCCTCCTCGCCGCCGGTGTGTTGCATTTTGGGAGAAGCTGAGCAAGGTTTTCGGTTTTCGTGGGTTCCCTTGACCAACTTTCTGCCCTTCGCCCCCATCACCCCACTCCCCCCCGCCCCCCCAGTCACTTAAATATCAGCCTGAAAAGGGGGGGAGCAATTCGTCTCCCTGGAAGTGATGCATCTTGACAGGTGTTCTCTTTGGGGACATTATTTATAGCTGCAAAAGCGATCCTACGTGGGGCGCTTTTGTCTCCTCCCTCCCCATTTGCTGTTTCTCTAAGATTGAACGTATTTTTATTTTCCCACTGGGAAAAAGTACCAAAAAATTGATTTAAACCCCCCACCCCCCCACCCCGGCCTCTCCACATTTTCTACCCTGTTCTGTCTTCTATCTTTGGGACAGGCTCTGGGGTGTTGGTTTGAACCCAAGGGTCCTCCCCTGAGCAAATGGATCACCGTCTCTGTGCCTCTCACGCCCCTAGGGCTGCTCTTGCTCTCCCACGCTCCTCGTTACTAATTTATAGGGAGAACTGAACGCGATATTTCCGTGTCTGGCTCCACCTCTGCCCCACCCCCCACTCCCCCATGCCATTCCAACTAGATGGTGAACTCCAGGGGACAGGGAGTGACGTCAGCTCACAGCCTTTCCGCCTCCCTCCCTGCTGTCAGTCCAAGGACCTCCTCCCAGGAGCTGCCCAGGAAGAATCGTGGGGGCCTCTCAGCCTTGTCACTTCCCCCTGCCCACATCCGGTCTGTCACCAAGCCCTGTGGCTTCCTCCCTCCGCTCTCTCCATGCCGTATGCCTCTCTCTGACCCCACACCCCACCTTCCCCCCAACCTCTCCGATTTCTGGTGTCTCCACAATGCCAGGCACGGAGCTGGTCTCGGACCACGGGCCCCTCTCTGGAGGGTCACAACAGCAGTGTCATGACTGACTTCCCTGTGTCCAGGCTTGACGCCCACTCCCACCCCCACCCCCGCCCCCAGTCCTCACTGTAATAGCTAAGGGATGGGGCAGTGGAGCACATGCCTGCAGATTCTGTTGCTAAGGAAACCACTTCCTTGGTTACTGGCCTGGGTAGCATGTGTCTCACTGTGTCTGGATCCCGCTGAGTCACGCCCACTCTCCGGGAAGATGAGGAGGAGGAGGAGGAGGACTGGGGAGAGGACAATAGGGTGGTGAGGAAGGGAGGAAGGGCAGGGAGACAGGAGCTCAGAGCTCAAGGGATAGATGTAGAGATGCTTGCACAGCAGAAGCAGAGACCAAGAAAGCGATGATGATGAAATGAGGGAGAGGAAAGAGAGAGGACAAGAAAGGACAGAGGGTTATGAGCAGCTGGAGGAAATACACGAGACCACAAGAAGGGGAACTGAGAGAGGGGCAACGGGAAGGAACACGGTGAGAGAGCGGGAGGGGTGGGGAGGGGGCAGAGCAATGCGCCAGAGAAGGGGGAAGGGAACTGAGGCCGGGCCTCTGGGGGGATCAGGGCTCAGTCTGTGATCAGGATTCCAGCTTCGATGTGACTCAGGATCAGTCTGGGACCAGGTCAGACTGGGCATACTGGTTCAGGCTCAGGCTGGGACCAGAATCCAGATGTGAGACGGGGGTCAGAGGTTAGCCTGGGGCCCAGTGGGTCACCACAGAAGGACTTGCGGGGCCACCAGAAGCCCCCGGAGGAGGACCCTCCCTGGATCCTGGAACAGCCCCCCACTCTCCCCTTCCTGAGGTCCTCCTTTCCAGACCTCCACCCCCCCTCCCGGTCCTGGGCTCCCCTTCCCACGCCTGTCCCATCGGCTGACCGCCCTCTCCCCCACTGTCCACGTGGCTGCGAGCAGTGCCCGGGGCCGCGGCCCCTTCCCACAGAGGCCCTCTGCCTGTGCGGACAGAGGCAGGTCCTCCCTCCGGGGCACTGGGAGGTGTGGACACGGAGACTCACCGCCCACCCGGGAATGGAGGCCTTTTCTGACCCTTTGCCTCTCAGTGGCTTCCAAGCAGGGGCACCGACACCTCACCCTAGTACCCCTCCCCCCCACACCCCCACGCCTCTCCCTGTCCCCCCCACCCCCCACACACACCAAGGACAAAAGGCCCGGGTAGAAGAGATTCCTCCCCAAAGGGCACCTTTTTTTTTGCCCAGGTTTTACCCCCATGGGGAATTCTCCTCCTCCCGGGGGGGGGGGGGCCCCCCCGCCACGGGAAACCCCCCCCCCCCCCCCCAAAAAGGGGCCCAGGGGGGCACCTTTTGTGGGGGGGGGGGGGGGGGGACGGGACGGACGGACGGGACACACACAGCCACCGGGACAGTGTCACACACAGAGGCGCACGGTTCTCCACAGGCAGTTCCAGAGTCACCCAGACACCCCCCGAAGAACACCCCGCTGTGAGCGCGCCTTACACAACACTCCGCCACGGGTGGAATTCTCAACAAAACTCACTTTTAATGATGGTGTTGACCTGAGGAATCTTCAGACGGAGGCCCGTGGCCCGAGGTGACCGCCGGCCAAGAGCTGGCCCAGGCCGTGGGCCCAGAGGCTCCCAGAGCGAGCTGGCCTGTGGGTGGGAGTGGGGGAGGCTTCCCCAAAGACTAGACATGAGCCCGGGGGAAAGAAACGCGGTACAAAATACATTCAGAGCCCCGGGGGGGGGGGCCCTGGGGTCGCCCACAGCCGACAGGGGAGGGGTTCGGGGCGAGAATCGCAGGTCTGAGCCTCTGGCCCCTTCGCTTTGCACGGCCGGCTTCCAAGGGGCGGAATGTATTAGTCATATTCCTCTTAAAAAAATATATCTCTTTACGCTCGCCCTCTCCATGGCCTCCTGGCTGTTTGGGAGTGAGCCTGTCCTTGCACCCCAAGGCTTCAGGGGGGCTGCTGGGGAGGGGGTGCTCCGGACAGAACAGTGAAGAGCTGTGACCTATGGCTTTTGCATCTACGTGATGGGGGCGGTGCAGGAGCGCAGGTGGGAAGCCGCTGGTCTCCAAGGTGGGGAAGCGGAGGGATCCTGGATCCATGCTTTCAAAGATCGAGGATCGGGGATGCTGGTCCCCAGGAATCCTTTGGTTTGATGACTCAGCTTCCGGGAGCGGCATCTGTGCGGAAGTGAAGAGCCATCGCATTTGCTTCATTCCTCAAAGGCCTCGAGAGGGAAGCCACCCCTTTGGGACTGTGATCACGGGAGGCCGATGGTGCGGGAAGGGAGCTGGGTCTCTTTGGGGTCTGGTCCCACCTGGTCTGGAGCACCCTTGCTCTCTCGCCTGGAGAGTGCAGGCCCCGTCGGCGGGGGTCAGAGGCAGTGTGAGCTCCATGTGCTGCACCCTCGGTGGAGCGAGACTGTGACAGGGCTCTGGTTCTTATTCAGAGTCTGCACGGGCCCTCGACCATCCTGCTGGGATAACTGTGCCCAGTGGGGGAGGAAAGGGCAGAATTTGACCTTGGCTCGGTCCTCAGGAGCAGTGTGACCTGGGGGTGGGCTCGTGATGCAGGGCCCCACCTGGTGGTGCCCGTGAACCTCCTGCGAGCACTGGGGCTCCCCCACCCACCGCGAGTGTCAGAAATGGGACGCTATAGAGAAACCTCCAGCAACCCTTCTCCCATGCAAGTGGCCTGATGAACCCCGGGGCCGCTGCTGCTGCTTGGTGGAGAGAAGAGCCCGCGAGAGCCCAGCCCCGGAGGGCGGAGCGCCGGGGGCACCTTTCCCAGCGTCCAGGTCCTCAGCACCGTGGGAGGCACCCGAGTCTCTGGGACACCCAGGAGCCCGCCCTCCCAAGGGGAGAACCAGAGTGGTGGGGGCAGGGCCATGGGAGACAGAAGCCTGTGTGGCTGGGGCTCCCCCACATCAGGGGCCTCCCGGGCTGTGAAGGGCTGTGAGCAGGTGGTTGTCCCCTGAGGCTCCTGCGTCACGCACTGAAGGCCAGCAGCAGCCGAGGGGGCTGTCCCCAGACCAAAAAGGGGCCAGACGGGTGGGCGGGGTCCCCGGGGGGTCTCGAGGCCCCTCCCCGGCGGGCCCATCATCTGGGGTAGTAGTCGTCGGGCACGCCCGTGAGGTTCCGCCCCTTCAGGGCCGCGTCCACCAGCTTGATGTAGGCCTGGATGGTCCTCTGCATGTCGGCCGTGTAGGGGTCGTACTCCAGCTTGCGCAGCCCCGAGCGCTTGAAGTTGCCGTCCTTCTGGCTCTCCACGCACAGCAGCCGGTCCTCGCGGACGGCCACGCCCAGCAGGCGGACCATCCGGCCCAGCTGCACGAACAGGTCCTGCTTCAGGTCCTCGAAGTGCACCACCAGCACCTTCTTGCCGAACTTGAGCCAGTCCAGCGTGTGCGTGGCCCACCACGGGGCGTAGTTCCTCACGAACTCGGGCCACTCTGTGGAGAGAGGAGGGCGGGCCGAGTCAGAGCGGAGGGGCTCCCGGGTCCGAGTGGTCGCTGTCACTCACAGCAGTGAGAACCCCTCAACTCCTGGTAGATCTCCACACTCCCCCTGCTAGGTTTGGAAAAGGACAGGATGGACTGTCACCAAAACTGGGAAGGTATTTTGGGGATTGTCTGACTTGAAAGTCAGGCTATAACCGAATGCGGGAAATTCCTTGGGGAGCCCTGGAGAGGACCCCAAAGAGACAGCCAGCCAGCCCCTGGGGTGGCTGAACCCAGAGAGAAGCTGAGTAACTACAGGGGAACCAAGGGGGATGCTGGGGAGGGGGGAAGGGAGGCCAGCCCAGGAGGAGGCTGGGACAGAGAGGGGGAGGCCAGCCTAGGAGGAGGCTGGGACAGAGGGAGGGAGGCCAGCCCAGGAGGAGGCTGGGACAGAGGAAGGGAGGCCAGCCCAGGAGGATGCTGGGACAGAGGAGGGGAGGCCAGCCCAGGAGGATGCTGGGACAGAGGGGGGGAGGCCAGCCCAGGAGGAGGCTGAGACAGGAAGGGAAGCCAGGCCCAGCTGGAGAACCATGGGGCAGGCTCTCTGAAACCCTGAAGCCAGACCCACTGCTTTCCACGAGGACAATGCCAGGTGCTCCCTCCAGAAGGAAATGTTTATTGAAGGAGCGTCAGTGAGTCTCCTCCGCCCTGCTGGGGAGCCCAGCTGGTTCTTAATAACTAAGTCTGCACCCCTTGCTGGGTGATGGATCCCCGTGATCTCAGTGCATCCTGACGACTACCCTGGAAAGAAAGGACTACTCTTCACTATCACCACTGGGTAAACTGAGGCCCAGAGAGATGAAGTGATTTGCCCAAGGCCACGCAGCCAGGGAGCACCATCCAGACCAGGCCTGGCTGATTCCAGGTTCTGATCTTGCTCTTTTGTTATTTCGAAGGCACCAGCAGCCTCGCCCCTACATTCTCCCACTGCCTCCCACCCAGCAGGGGCTCAATAAATAGTTCTTGAGAGGAACTGAAATTCCCAGCCGCCCACCCGAGTTGTGATAAAGGACTCCTCTTTGTCTGCAGAAGACACAAGGCTCTGTGGTGGGGCTCCCGCTCCCCAAGAGCTCCTGCTGGCACACCCTGACTGCTGGGGAAGTATTTATGCTGGTGAGAAGGATATTCTTTATCCCTAAAATAGATTATTTACAATGTATCTGGCTAATTGGGCCTACACTGTTATAATGGGTTGAGACCAGATGTATCTGGGTGATTAGAGAAAATTTAGCATGAACATAGTCTGTTTCACTATTTTTTTTTTTTTTTTAGAATTTCCCCACTCCCGAGTCACCTCCCAGCATCCCCGGTGATTCAGGACAACTGCCGCTCCCGTGGCAGAAGCCCCTGGGGTTGGAGACAGCACTCAGTCACCGGGGACATACAGATCCCGACTCCGGGCCTGGCCACTCTGACCATCGCAAGCGGTCGCTGGAAGAGGGCTGCAGGGTGGTCCTCAAGGAAAAGGGAGGGGCGTGGTGGCCGGGTCCCGCAGCAGGTTGGCCTCCTTGTTGGTTGCACACTTCCGTGGGACGGGAACGTGTGTGGCCTAAGCACCCACTGTGAGTCAGGGCTGTGTTGGGCAATGTGCAGGCATTACCTCATGCAGTGCCCACAAGGAGCCTGAAGAGTAGGAATTACTAGGACTAGCCCCATTTTACACACAGGGGAGAGAGCCGAGGCTCAAAGCACGAAGCCACACAGTGTATCCAAGGCAGGATTCGAACCCACATCCACCCTAGGCTGAGCCTGGCTCCTGCCCTCCTAGCAAACCCTTTGAGCTCCTGATCTTTTCAGCTCGGGCGCTCTTCTCTCCCGATGTTGTCTATGACGACTTTGCAGTCAGACGGCCTGCGTTCAAAACCCAGCTTCTCTCCACGTTAGCTGTGTGACCTTGGGAACATTAGTCGATGTCCTTGAGCCTCAGTTTACCCATCTGTGAAATGGTGACTGCACCCTAGATGCTGTGCAGATGAAATAGAGTGAGATTTACCAAGGCCCTGGCGCAGGGCCTGGGATACAGGAGAGAAATGTTGGCCCCCAGCATCTCTGAGGTGCCCCCCCCAGGCCCCATCATTTAGGTCAGAGCTTCCCCCCAAGACCACATGTGATATCCAGGCAGTCTGGGCAGCAGCTGTGTCCGCCCCCATGGCACAGATCCCTCACTTAAAGCTACTGCATTAGAAAGGAGAAGGATAAAAATAAAAAGCAAAAGCCTTGATTAGCTCAGGGTTTCCAGCAATGGATTGCTGCCTTCAAACTGGGCAACGGAGGCTCACTGAGCCACGGACCACTGGGCACGGGGGCTGGCTGCGCCGGAACTGTCGCGCACGTGGGCCTGGCCACTCGGCTCCCCCTTCCTGTGGGTGGGAGGAACGGGGCCTGATTAATAGCTTCACTGGACTCAGTTCCCCGCGGAATCATTAAGCACAGGCCCTGTTTCATTAAGCAGACTCAGGACAATTCACCTTGTGTAATCACAGCACATAAAACTTTGCTTTGGACCCACTCCAGGGACACCGTAAAATTAATGTTATGGAACCAACCCGGGGGGTGGGGGGGAAGGCATTATAGGAGCCTCAACCCAGCTCTAACCCGGAGGGGACACAGGCCGGGTGGGATGGACATGCTCAACAGCGGGGTGACCTCTGCTCTGAGGGAGGTGACCCTCACACTCAAGGCTGAGGGCATCCTAAAGCAGAGACTCTCAAACTTTCAAGTGCGCATGAAGCTTCTCATTAAAATGCTGATTTGGATCCAGTAAGACTGGGCGGGGAAGAGGGGTTGAGATTTGCTTTTCCAAAAACCCCAGTGAAGTCGATGCCACTGGCTGACAGGCCACTGTTGGAGCAGCAAGGATGTGAAGCAGCGGCTGGAAAACCGGAGGGCGTGTCGGAAACACCCGGAGGGGTCGCTAACACACAGGTGGTGGCCGGGCCTCCCGGAGTTGACTCAGCAGGTCAGGGGCAGAACCTGCTGCTCTAACAGGCTCCCAAGTGATCCTGACACGGCTGGTGCCGGCCCTAAAGTGAGGGTCTCAAACCCAAGTGCCAGATGCAAACCCAGATGAGAGAGAGGGTGGGTGTGGGCTGTGGGGCTTGGTTCTTTGGGGAAGGCTCTGGGCTAGAGCTCTGGAGGACCTGGGTCAGGCTTGGGAAGGGAAGGTTCCCCGCCCCCAATTCCAGACTCATATGGGGACCCCAGAACCCCAACATGAGATGTGTGTGCTGAAACCCCCCACTCTCTCATCCCCCGAAGCTTCCAGGCTCAGCCGGTCCTGACCATCCCTTCTCGCTTTTTAAAGCTCCCAGCTGTCCTGAATGAGGAAAAAGAGGCAAGGCGGCCCCTTTAAAATGGTCTGAACCCGAGACACTGGGCTATGCCAGGAGAGGAGAAGCTCTGGGCACCAGGTCAGCAATGCCCCGGGCAAGAAAGAGCCTGGTAGCTGAAGCCTGGGTCAGCACCCAGCTCAGTCTACACCAGGGGCCTCGGCCACATGACTTCCTCCCTGCGATGGTGTCTCACGTGTGAAATGAAGGTTATGGTGATTACGGCTGCCTTTCTTACCTCCTGGGCCATCAGATGGTTTAAATGAGATAATGAAGGTTAAGTGCCTGCTCCCCCATGAGCTTCTCAAGTGAGTCCCCCCTTTTCACTTGGGCGGCAGGACCTTGGCAGGCCCCCGCCTCTCTCTGGGCCTCAGTTTCCCCGTTAATAATCAGAGGATGAGGCAGGGTTCTCAGTCCCGCCTGAACACTGGACGCAGCTGGAAGCTTTACAAATGCTGATGCCCGGGTTGCAATGCAGTCACGGCCCCGGGCGCAGCCTGAGCACGGATTTTCCCACACTCCTCTGGGGATTCTGATGTGCAGCCGGTCTGAGGACCACTGGGTCCAGTGACCTCTCAAGTCCCCTCCAGCTCGGCAAGCAGAGAGTCTGTTCCCGGGACAGGCTCCTGCCATTTGCATCTGCAGACTTTCCCGCCTGGCCCTGGCCGGTGAGTGCTCCCTTTCAATTGTTCTACAAATAAATAATTCAGAGGCCTCTTTGCTCCTGGGAACAATAGAACAAATGCCACCACCTGTCCAAGTTTTCATCCCCTCGCTGAGAGGGGAAGCCAGGCGGAGAGAGGGACAGATGGGTGAACAGGAACCAGGGCACGGTTGGTCAGGCCGGAGGGTTTTAATCAACAACATCAACATTGAGGGTGTGATTGGTGGATGCCGAGTCGGCTACATCCTGCCAGGCTCCAGTCCTCTCCGGAGGGACCAGCGCTTCGGAGCAGCTGGGAGCCAGGGGAGGGCTGGGAGGAGCCGGAAGCATCCCCCCTGACTTCCGGCTGGAACAGCCTCGTTCCTGGATGAATTCTGGGGGGCGTGGGGGGAGGGAGAGCTTGCATTTACAGGGGCTCTAAACTGGGTGAGTCCTAACCACAGACAGTTCATTGAATCCACCACCGAGGATTAGCACAGTGGTTAAGAGCAAGGGCCCTGGAGGAAGATGCCTTGGGATCCAAACCCCAGCTCCTGGGACTTCCTGAAAAGGCTCCTTGGCCTCCCTGAACGTAGCTTGTCCCCTTTGTAAAATGGGTTAATTGTGGGAGAATTGATGTGATTCTCTTTACCACCATGGAGCTACGGGTGCTAACTGATAGGGGCGTCTGAGACCCAGTAGGGTTAAGGGTACTCAAGACGGCAGACGGGTCAGACCTCAACGTTCTCACCATGACCCTGGGCTGCCACCCACCCCACACTGAGACATCCGTCCACGCGGCAGCCACCTACTCACAACGTCAGAGTTGACTCTCAAACCCAGGTCATCTTAATGAAGTTCGGTGGTTGGGGGCCAACACTGCCACTTTCCATTTGTGACCTGGGGGCCAGACACTTAACCTCTCTGAGCCTCCCAACCCAGAGCTGTTGGGCTTGTTCATCAAAGTGACCCCTCAGGACCTCATGGGCGACCCCAGGGCCACTTAGCCGTTGACCTTGGTCTGGATTTGGGTCTCCTGACTCTTGAACCTCCTCCTCCTCCCATCAATCAGATCACATCAACCTGAGGGTCTCCATTTCCATAATGCATCATGGGTCACATCTACTGAGTGGCTTGCAGGGTTAAACTTCTAGAGCCGCCCTCATGTTACAGATGGGATGATCTGAATTCAGGGAGGTGGGGAAGCTTATCCAGGAAGTGATGGAGCTGGGATTAGAACCCAGGGGCGTCTTGCTCCACAACTATGTCCTTAACTACAACCATGTCCTTAACCACTGGAGTATCCCAGCCTAATTCCCAGAGGGTGATGCTAGCAGACCAGTGGGATGTGGGAAGAGCACTAGAAAGCTGAGGGTCTGGAGTCTCACGCATGCCCTCAAGGGAGGCACTCCTGGACTCCTCGCAGGAGACAGCACTGGCCCAGTGCGCTGCCCGCTGCACCTCAGGACCCCTCTCCTTTGCACCCCTCCACTCCCTAGTCATACCTTTGCCCTTCCAGTGCGCATGCGCAGCGAAGCCGATGTGGCCGCCATACTTGCGGTTGAACTCCGCCATGAGGGCCTTGTAGGGGTTGCGGATGAGCAGGATGGCGGCATCGAAGGCCTCGATCTCCTTCTGGCCGCTCTCGTGTGTCTTGATGCAGATGGTCCTCCCGCTGCGCCAGTGGTCCCGCTCACCTTTAAACCCTTGCCATGGGGAGCGGGGGTGGGGGGAGGAGGACACGTGGCAGGTGAGGGGGCGGAGACAAGAAGAAACCCACCCGCCCCCTGCTGGGCCCCTTCGGCAGTCTCACACATTCACTTGTGAAGGCCTTCATTCTCTTATGTGTTTATTGAGCACCTACTATGTGCGAGGCACTGGGATGGGAACTAGGAATAAAATGATTTGCAAGGTCTCTGGCTGACTTAGGTATCCTTCTCCTTTATGTTCCTCTACCCAGGGCACTCCTTCATCATGGCCCTCATTATTACTCATATATTCATGTCACTATTAATACTAACAATTGTTGGCATTTATTGAATGTCTACCATGGGCCCAGTGCTGTGTGTGACAAGTGATTTATATACTTTGGGGGGTGTGCACACAAGGTCTGTACCTGGCAAGTAGGCCATTCCCCCTTCTACACCCTCAACAGGCATCACTACTAGATCAAGGCACTTTGTTCCTGAAGGAGAACAGAAGCTCAGAATCCTTCTCAACACATCGTCCTAAAGCAGGGATTCACTGGAACTGACACATGAGATGAAACCACTCTGGATCCATGAACCAAATGATCCTCAAGGACCCTTCTATAATTTGTGAGATTCTCGGATTCCCTGACAAATAGCAGTAGGTAATCAATGTCCCCAAAGTGAACATCGTTATTAGATCTCTGTGCACAGCTCAGAGTTGCTGGTCAGTAAATGTCTGTGTTGAGGTACCTGCACACATTAGGTGTTCAAGGAATGTCTGCCGTGATCTAAGCAAAGGGAAGGTACCAAGCACATAGTAGGTCTCAATAAACATGCTCGGTTGAGCTGAGCAGCACACAGTAGGTGCTCAGGAAGGGTAGTCCCATGGCCTCCCAGTGTGCCCTTTGGAGCCCAGGCAGCCTCCTCACCTTTGTTGTAGAGAGAACCATCGAAGTAGTAGCTGCCGGTGTAGAAGCCGGTGGCCAGTTCGATGAGGTGGCGAGCCCACGTGTTGCCGGCACCTGGGAAGCTGGCCAGAGCGATGAGCTGCTTGGACTTGGCTGGGAGGAACCTTCTGTCCATGCAGCGGTTGTCTGCAAAGAGCAGGGCATGAGCAGGGGTCAAGGGCAGGGGCAGGGGCAGACGAAGCCTGGGTGTGAGTCCCACCCCTGCCACTTCCTAGCCGTTCGACCCAGTGCACATGATGGAACCTCTTCTGGGCCTCAGTTTCCCCATCTGTAAGATCACGCAGTGGGTCTGTGTTGGAGACCCAGGCCTCTCCCTCCCAGCCCGGATGCGTTCCCACTCAATGCCACAGTCTCCATTTCAAGAAAAAAGCTACCAAGGAGGTTTGCAGTATGGGGGATAGAGTTGAGGGTCCTTGGAACCCAACCCCCTTGCCTGGGCCTCCCTCTGTGGCCCATCCAGGATCTCTAAGCCTGGTCAAGGTCACCAGCCCTGCCCCTGCCCTCCACCCTCCAGCCTCCACCTCTACCCTCTGGCCTGCACAGTATAGGTTGTGTGAAGTGGACTGTCCCGGGCACCTCTGGGAGGGAGGCCCTGGGAGAACACGCAGGGTAGCTAGGGGAGGCCTGGCTTACCCTGCACCTGCGTCTGGTACACGATGAAGTAACTGGGGGTCCCGCAGCTCTCAAACTCCTCCGCGCTGCACTTCTGGGCACACAGCTGTTCGTCTTCTCTCTCGTGCAGGGGGAATCGCGTGGTGGGGAAGCCACAGTGGCAGGCGGTGCCTCCTGGGGAGGGGGAGGGAGAGGATGAGGAAGAACTCTGCTAAACCCCTGGACACGGAGCGGCCGAGTCTTCCTGTCTCCATCCCTCTCCCCAACTGAGGATCCCGAAACTTCTTGAGTGAACCCCACTGTCACAACGTGGCCCCATCTGTGCACCTCCTGCACTCTGGTATTCTGCCAGCTTAACTGAGGTATAACTGACAAGCAAAAACAGTATGTCTTTAAGGTGATGTATACGTGGTGAATTAATCATCACAATCAAGCTAATTAACATACCCGCCACTTTAATGGTGACCATTTTCTGTTGTTTCCCTGCTATTTATTTATTTATTTATTTGTCTCCTTTCAGTCCACTCACTTTTTGGGACTTAAATTTCCAAGGAAGCTTTGCACCACTCCCACGGCTTCCATGGTTTCCATACTATAAATGCAAATACGATGGACACACAACAGTGTAATTAAGTTCTCACTAAGACCTTCTGCCTGCCAAGGCTGAGCCCTGTGTCGGCTCCATTTCTCCTGCAAAAGGGAGATTAATTGAGGGTAGAGCATGTTCAAGACACTTCAACACTGAGATGAGCTTTCTCCTGGAGGAACTGGAAAGAAAACTGAGAAGTAAATGCCTTTCTCACGGCGTGTAACCCGCCACGGTCCATGTCCCTGGCCTGACGGTGAGACAAAACCCATGCCTCGGGGAAAGCTGCCTGGATCCACGCTTTCAGGCCAGAGAGGATCCTGGGACCTGCGTGGACCACAGTCTTCCCTGGGAGAGCGGCTCCTAATGGCTTTGTTTGTTCTATGGGACAGCGAAGTGGGAGCAGGACAACCTGATTCGGAGGGCAGGGGACTGACTGTCCTTTGTCCAATCTGCTTCTACTCAAGCCCGACAGCCGAATTTCCCCCGGAAGCTGGCCCAGGAATAACCTGGTAACGAGCCAAGGTCGCTCCCACGAGGCTGGGTCCAGCCAGTTTTACCAGAGTAGGTTTGGTGTCTCTCTTAGCAGTGATGGGAACTCACTCCGTCCCAAGGTGGGACGATCCCTGCCTTTACCTGGCAATCTTCCGAAGGCCACGCCCAGTTCATTCCTGAGTATTCCTCACTATTGCGAGAGAACCTGACCCTGTGTAACTCCTACCTCGGGGACAGATGACACGGGCACACCCTCTCCCACGTCACGGATCACAGGATCCCTCTCCAGCCCAGCATCCTGTTCCTCCAGCCGTTCCACACCGCCCCTCCCTGGGCCCCCCCGTCTCACCTTCTCTGTGCAGAGGTCCACGCACTTGTCCACGGACATGTTTGGCATGGCGGCCGTCACGGGCAGGGCCAGGGAGAGGTTGTGGGGCCTGCGGAAGCAGCCTCGGAAGACCGCGCTTCCATCTGCAGAGCCAGAGGGAAAAAGGGTCGTCAGATCTAGGCTGAGAGAACCACCTTCTGACAGAAGCACTTTTTAACGAGAGCCCAGAGAAGGCAAGAGTCTTGCCCGAGATCACACAGTGAAGCAAAATGGAGACTAATGAGCTAGATAGCTCAATGCTCTCCTCCACCCTAGCATCTGTCAGCAATCCAGGTCACGGGGATGTTCCTGCTGGGCCACATCACCCCCCATTCTTTGTCAGCACACCTATGTCTCTATTCCTCATTTTCAACCATGGCAACTCCCCGTTCAGGGAGCTGAAAGATGCCAGGGAGGGTTGACGGGAGGGAGGGCAGCAAAGGGCCCAGGTTTGTCCTGCCTCTCCTCACAGCACCAGGGTAGCCCTCTCCTCCCATCACCTGGAGGTTTAGGGGGAAAACCCACCCCGTGCTGAGCACCTGCAGGCTGCAAGGGACTGATGTGGGAGGGACTCCCTTTAAAATAGCCCCATTTGGAAATATCCCAGCTAGTTGACTGTAAGGAGACTTCCTTCCAAGGAGTGGGTGAGCCTCACATAATCAGTTGAAGGCCTTAAGAGCCAAACAGGTTTCTCAGAGAAGGACTTCTGCCTGGAGACGGCAACATTAGCTCCCGCCGGCACTGCCAGCCTGCTGGTCTGCCCTGCGGCTTTTGGACTTGCCCGCTTCCTTAAATAAATATAAACGCCTCTACCTTCTATCCCTCTATCCGTCTGTGTGTCTTTCCACCTACCTAACCTCCTCCTGGTTCTGTTTCCCTGGAGAGCTCTTGAGTGATAAGAAGTAGGACTATAGGCAATTTTTATTCCCAACTTTTTTGTAAAACTTTTCTACAGTGAATCTGTAGATTTTAATATAATAAAGACAAACTAAAAAAAAAGTGGCCCCAGTCAAATTTATTGAAAGGTTCATGAGGCCCATTTAAAACTGGGCTCGGCTGTTTTCAGAACTCTGAGCTGCACATCCCTTTCTAGAAGCACAGCTTTCACGTAAAACAAGGGGTGCGGTTGGTGCAGTGTGAGTGTCATTGATGTCACACACACTGTAGCGGAATGAATCCTCAGTGCAACCTGTGAGGTAGGTGACACTCTGATCCTGCTTTGCAGACAGAGACCCTGAGATGTGACACGACTCCATCACTTTTCCAAGTCCCACAGCGAGCGGGGAACAGAGCTGGGCTTTGACCCCAATCTTGTCTGACATCACATCCTAGTTCCCACCTCTCTGCTGTTCTGCGGGAGGCCTGGCGCTTCTCACGTAGTGGAGCCCCAGGGATCCCGTGCCGGCCCCGTGCATTTCCCAGAAACCCTCTCAGGCCCCACCGCAGGGGCCCGAGGATCACAAGGGCCCATGCCCCACATTCCGACAGAGCCAGCTCCTCACTGCCAGGCTAGCTGAGACGGGGCGTGACCTCCGCGGCTTGGGGGTTTTTATGAGCGAGAGGCGAGCAGAGCAACTGTTCAGCAACTCTCTCTTCTGGGGGCAGACGAAGAACAGCCCGGAACCAGCTGCAAGTGCCTCTGAAGTCCCATTATCTCTTTGTTCTGGGGCTTCACAAAAAAATGAAGTAAATGTCATCAGCAGGCGTGGAAGAGTTCTCCTTGGTTTGAAAGAGGCTACCTCCCCCCGTCCCCCCCCCCCCCGATAATTAGGCCAAGCTCCACTGCATTAAAGATGCAGGCGAGGAAGAAAGGCAGCGAGCTGGGAGCTGTTAGCAGCTCCCTATAATCAGAGAGAGATGGAATTACACAAAGAGCCTAACTGTCTGAGAAGAATTCAAACCAGCCGTTTCCGGGCACCACCGCAGGCTCCCGTGGGCTTGTGCAAATTCAAATAACCTGAACTGGGTGTGGCTCAGCATAGATTGAGGAGTTTTCATTTTAAGAAGATGGGAGGGGGTGTTTACAAATACTCCATAACAGGCACTGTGCTGGATGCTTTCCCCATTTGATCTCACTGAGGGGGTCCCAGCAATCTTTAAAGGTTGGAATTGCCCCCATTTTACAGATGAGGCGGTTGAGGCTCAAAGAGAATACGTGGCTTGGCCAAGGTCAACAGAGCAAATAAGTGAGAGAGCTGGCATCGAAACCATGTCCGCCTGACTTCAAAACCCACTCCCACAGCCTTCTGGGATTGTGTGGAGGGGGGAACAGCTAAGCAATTCTCCCCCCTCATGAGGCAGAAGGAGAAAAAACGTCTAGTTACCATCTCCTTGGTTCTGCACTGCATAATTCATGAAGGCCTGCATGAATGATAAAATTCAGGACTCCCAGACATACATCAAGGGCAAGGAGAAGCCTGCAGGCCGGGCAAAGAAGGAGCTAGAGTTGGTCTATCCATCAAAATGGGACTTTTCCGGCGATCATCTGAGGCTCCCCTCAGCAGAAGTGGTCAGAATGGAGTATCAGTGGGCATAAATCATCAGCATGAACAAAATTCCCCTTCTAACTTTGGAAGACAAAAAAAAAAAATCACCAGAACTCACAATGGCACACAAAATCCACTATGTGAATTGTGAACCATGATGTCAAGGATCTGTTTTGTTCAGTGATCATGCAAGCTTTGTAATACTTTCCCACAGAAAAGGCAAAATGAGAGGGAAGAGGGCTGAGCCCTGGGAGAGGCTGGCCTGCAGTCATGGAGACTTCAGGCAGAGCTAAAGGATGGTCAGCACCATGGACAGCCGCCACGGGACTGACATGTAGATATTCTGTGTTGTTCCCATGGACCTAGCAACACAAATCTTGCAAGAATCTTCCAGGCAAATGACATTTCTTGCAACACCCGGTAAAGCCCTGATGTTCTCAAATCATGGCAGGTGTCTGCCCCTGGAGCAGAGCTGCCCTCGCCGACACATTTCGCCGACTGCTGTGAAAAGTGTAATACAACCAAGAAGGAAGTCCGTTTCTCGGTTCTTTTGTAACAACGGGGAAGGGTCCGTGAGAGTCGGTGTCAAGGCAGAACAGCAGGGTGCCTGCAGACACTTGCTCTGCCAACCTTTTCATTCGCCTGCTACCGTGGGAGCCGCCCAGCGCCTCCCTACGGAAGGTGGATGTCCCCCACCCGTCCCAGCGGTGCCTGGAAGGTAACAAGCCCCCTTTGAGTCTGCACAGTCTTCAAGAGTTCTGTGCCACTGCTCGGGGAAACACAGTCACGACACAGTGCTGATACCAACGGGTGATGCTACAAACGGGATCTGGTGTCCGTCCTCCCTGCCTCCTGGAGGCAGCAGGTCGTTTCTGTGACGGATGGAATACGAGCGAGTGTCATGTGCTGGTGACCTGGAGCTTCCCGTTCTCCAGGCTTCGCTCACTCTATTCCCTTTGCCTGGATTTCTCTCCCACCTCTTGGCAATGTGTCTTGAGTCTGGATATCTCCCTCTTCTCCATCACGAGAAACCCCATGTGTCTTTCGAGGCCCTAATCAAACAGCCCTCCTCTGGGAGCCTTCCCGAAGGAGGCTCCATTGAGCCACTTCTGCTCTCTGGGCCTCAGTTTCCAAAACTGTAAAATGGGACATCAGAAAGGAAGGCGCTTCCCACACGGTACTCAACACCTGAACTCTGCTGAGCCTGGACTATTGCTCGTGGCTAGAACACAAGGCTCTCTCTTTCACCTGGAGATCTCCTTTGAGGAAGATTCAGCTCCAATGTTGCTCCCTTGGCACATACCCCTCCCCAGTGGTCTTGGGCTTGTCCCTCTACTAGACACTGTAGGGGCTGCTCGCAAGCAACCATCCCGCCCTCCTACTGTTACAAGGGCAAAACACACCCTTGTTTAGTGGTCTTCATGTGTTGAGACTTATATTTCAGCTTATTAAAAAGTCCCAGATGATCAGTGAGCATGTTATTATAATAGGTGATCTCAGAAGTGTGTGTGTGTGTGTGTGTGTGTGTGTGAGAGAGAGAGAGAGAGAGAGAGAGAGAGAGAGAGAGAGAGAATGTCCAATTTGAACATTAACCAAGAGGACATCTGGCCGATATCTGGCTAATGACACTCACAGCCCCATCCTTGTTACCTGGCTCATCCCATCCACTGGGTTGTTTTAGTGGCAGCATCTTTCCCTCTAAATACCATGACACGAAGGCCATCTCTTCAGATGGTCAAAGCCACCATCAAAACAACATAAATATTGGCACAAGGGTTCAGTGATGGGGATGATAAATCTACCATCAAATTAAAACCTCATTACATGAATGGCCAAACCAGGAACTGGCTGTGTGCACATTCTCCAGCCTGGATTTTTTATACGCCACCTGCGCCCTCTGCCAGCCAGGCCTGCAGACCCACAGGGAGGCGGGTGGGGCATCCATTTGCAGAAATTGGCCCCTTTGCAAACTGGCAGCAGGCTCACTCGACCCCTACTACAGAGCAAAGCTTGAACCGGGCTTCAAAAACATGGCGTTTGTAAAACAGAATACATTATCGAGCAGACCACGGATGAATTTTTATAAACAATGGCATTCGCGTGGAAGAGGCCTCTCTGTGCGTGCAGACAGGCGTGCAGTTCTGTGTGGGCAAGCCTGCATTCCAGGCGGGCCTTATCGGCTCCACTGGGGCCTAAGGCCTTATTGCTTATTAAAGTGCGGTCCCTGGACCAGCAGCCTAGCATCACTTGGGAGCTCCTTAAAAACGCAGTATCCCACCCGGACCTGCTGAATCAGAATGTGCATTTTAACAAGATCCCCATAGGCTTCAACTGCATGGTCAAGTTTGGGCAGCGCTGGCCCCAGGGTAAACAGGACCATCCTCAGCCCTCCATCTTTTGTCAAGGCCATTAGCTCTTTTTACAGGTCTGAAGGTCACCTTTCATTAGACTGCATGGCCCTGGGCAGGTTTACTTAGATTCATTAAACCTCGCTTTCCTCACGGTAAAATTCTCAATGGTAACATCCCTGCCTGGAAAGGTTGTAGGGACGGTAAATGAGATGGGTCCTGCCTTGGGCTTAGTACGGTGCCCGGAACACAGCAGATTTTGACATTCAGATATTAATTGCTATTAAATATCCACAGAGGGGAGCGGGACGGTGTCCACAGCAGAGGCCCGGCTCCCATCCTCTCCATTCGACCCCCTCCCTCCCTCCCTCAGGTTGGAAACTGAGAACTTTTCCAACCAGACTGAAGCATTGACAAGCGAGGAATGAACTCTCTCCATGGGAGCATTAAAGACACAGGCTCTGGAGTTGGTTTAAATTCTCTGTTTATGTGACACTGAGCCTCAGTTTCCTCATCTGTGAAATGGGAGTAGGTGACACATAGTGCCTATTTGAAGCATGAGTGTGAGAATTAGCTGTACTACTCCATACAAGGGACTTAGAAGAGGGTGCCTTGTTTGCCACCGTCATTGTTACTGTCATTGTCATCATCGTTAGAGACAATCTGCTTTCAGAAACTCAGGAAGGACAGGCTCAGCTCAGGCTCTAGCTCGGATGAAGGAGGAAGCTGGGGGCAAGTGGTCCAGCAGGCAACTCAGGGTGGGAGAGAAGAGGGGGGTTGGAAACATGCCAAGCAGCTGGAGCAAAGGGCTCTGCACGGGGTGGGTGGGAGGTGAGTCTGGGCAGGACTATGGCAGCCTTTTAGGGCAGCCAATACCATGGGAGTGATGGGAGCCATGGAAGGTGCGGGGTAGACGTGCAGGTAGGCAGGCGAGGGCCAGGGCCCGCTGGCCAAGGAAGGAGCCGCAGAGAGGGGCAGCGGCCAACTCACGTACACCTGCGAGCCGACTCCTGGGCCAGCTGCAGCCGGTAGACGGAGAGGCGGTTGGCGCCGCCGCACAGGCTGCCTCGCTCGCCCTTGCACTCCATGTCGCACTCGGCCTCGCTCACGTTTGTCGCCTGGATCTTGTGGCCGCAGTAGCACTCGGCGCCGAACTCCAGCCCGGCGTACAGGTAACCCCTGGGGAAGGCTGCGGTCAGGCCAGGGCAGCTGCCGCCATGGAGACCCCGGGGACAGGGAGACTCACCCAGCGAGGAGACCTGGGGATGGGGGGGCTCTGGGGGCCAGGACCCCTAGGGACCACCCACCTGCCTTCATCCCCGCCTGGTGTCTTATACCCCCATTCACCTATCCACATACACATACCATGGCCATACTGACTGCCACCTGTATACACCTTCAGCACAAGGCATGCTTCACACACACACACACACACACACACACGCACGCACGCACACACACACTTATGCATCCACAGCCTTACAAAACCCTTTCTTTGTGGCCACATGCTCACCCTCCATCACATGCTCCCATGGAAAAGAACACCACAGGCAGGAACCTGAGAAGGAAGGGGTCCGAAATGAATGGAGCCTGGGACGTCGGGGCCCTACCGTTCTGCACAGTTGTCCTGGCAACGGAAGACGGTCATCTTTTTGTAGTCGAAAAAGGACACGCCTCGCAGGGCCCGACTCTGGGTGTCGTCCAGGTAGCAGCCGATGTACTTGGCTTTGGGGAGAGGAGAAAAGTCAGATGGGGCTGGGGTCAAGGCTGAAAGGGTGACAGGAGTGAGCAGGTGCCTCGGCTGTGTGGCCTCATGGACTTTTTGGTACCAATTCCTTCCTCTGAGCAGAAAGGCAGGAGAGACTGACAGTCATGGGCATTGGTAGAACCTGGTCCCTAAGGGCAGTGGAGTCCCAGGGGTAAGGCTGGGGGCCCCGGAGGCCAGCAGAGCTGAGGAGGGAACTCCTCTGTGGCCAGGGTTAAGGTCAACCCTGAGAGGCCCAGAGAGGTTAAGTCACTTGCCCAAGGAACCACAGCTTGCGCATCTGAACCCAGGATTAGACCCATACACTCTGGCCCATCTTGCTACTTCTTAACTCTGGGGAGCTTTGCGATGACCCACGTGAAGGGGGAAGTGCTGGCATGCTCACACTCTTCTTTTTTTAAAAAAAATGTTTTTATTGATTTTAGAGAAACAGAGAGATAGAAACGTCAGTGTAAGTGCAACATCAATGAACTGCCTCCTGCATGCCCCCCACTGGGGACTGAGCCCACAACCCGGGCATGTGCCCTGAGGAGGAATTGAACTGGTGACCTCTTGGTGCAGGGGATGACGCCCAACCAACTGAGCCACACTGGCCGGGGCACTCACACTCTTCTTAGATGACTGATCAGAGGCCCAGAAAGGTGGAATGGCCTGCCTGAACGCTGCGGCTAACTGGGATCGAACAAAGGTTCCATGGGATCCCAAACCAGTGCTCTTTCCTCCACTCCACTTGGAAGGAAGTAGCTGGAAATTGGATGAAGGATCCAGCCAGCCCTGGAATTACACGGCCCCCATAGGGATGACCGAGGCCAATACCACATGCCGCTTGCTCACTCTCCCTAGCTGGCTGCTGTCTGTCTAAACTGCGGGCTTCTCGCCCCCTCACTCCTGCTGCAGAGCAGGGTCTAGCAGAGGGAGCCGGCTCCCTGCATGGTGCCCCTCAACACCGCTCTGCTAAGTGCAGGATTTGTCAGCCCCGCAGGAGATGCGCCTCGACCTCCATCACCTTGAATTTCTTGCGAGAGACAGAGGTGATCTGGTCGACTAAGAACAGTTCATCTTTTAAGAGAAGCATCGCCTCCCTGGAGCAGGCGTATCACACGGTGACAGCTCTAGGGGAGCCCACGTCTCGTCACTGTGCTTGTTCAACAACGTATGTCCCTCCTGCCACAGATGGGATCATGCCCTGTGACCACGGGGAGACGCTCATCTTGGCAGGGCCAATCAGTATTGTCTCTCCCACCAGCCAGTGATGGATTGCTCTGGGGAAGGGCACATGACCCATTTGTTCGATTCTTATAAATTAAAGCTGGGCGGGGGGCGGGGGGGAGGATCGGTTTCCCTTGGGATATGATGTTGGCATTCTCTAAGGCCAGAGCTACCAACAGCCACAATCCCTGGTACCAAAGTCACTCTGTGTTGAAGAACCAAGCTCAGGCAGATACAGCAGAGAAGAGAGTAAGAAATCATTCATTTAAAAATCCAGCCCCTTCCATGGCTGGGGATAAGTCCCAGTACATTTTCCTCTTTAGCTTAAGCTGATTCAAGATTTCAAGATGGGTTTTTGCCCCTTGACTGATACGCTGATTCTCAAGCTAAGTGGCTTGGGTCTGTGCGGCTCTGAGGGTCTAGACCAGCCGTGGGCAAACTACGGCCCGCGGGCCGGATCCGGCCCGTTTGAAATGAATAAAACTAAAAAAAAAAAAGACCGTACCCTTTTATGTAATGATGTTTACTTTGAATTTATATTAGTTCACACAAACACTCCATCCATGCTTTTGTTCCGGCCCTCCGGTCCAGTTTAAGAACCCATTGCGGCCCTTGAGTCAACAAGTTTGCCCACCCCTGGTCTAGACCAAATCCGTGCCAGGCCTGTCTACTCCTTTTGTTCCATGCACCACACCAAGTCCCAGCCTGACAGAAGGGCATCTCCATCCTCACCAGGGAGCCCTTCATGGAGGGAGAATGAGGAAGGGTGGTTCCTTGGGAGAAGAGCTGGGATTCAACTGTAGGTCATGTGCCCCCAAACCTGGGCTTTTAAATGCTGCTGCACCCCCTCCCTCTCCCTCCCCTAGGCCAGGCATCAGGATGAGATGCCCCATATAGACTTGTTGCATGGCTGGCTGGTGTGGCTCAGTGGTTGAGCACTGACCTATGAACCAGGAGGTCACGGTTTGATTCCCAGTCAGGGCACATGCCCAGGTTGTGGGCTCAATCCCCAGTGTGGGGCGTGCAGCAGGCAGCCGATCAATGATTCTCTCTCATCACTGATGTTTCTATCTCTCCCTTCCTCTCTGAAATCAATAAAACTATATTTATAAAAAAGAGACTTGTTGCACGGACAGATGATGCTCTGTTCCCTCGTCTGTCAATAGGAGGGATAAAAAGACACACGGCCCATGGGCATATTACACACTGCGACCTGCCGAGTAGCTGAGCTCTCCTGGCCAACATATGGATATGGGGGCGGTTTCCTCCCCGTCCTGGGCCAGGGCTGGGGACGTCTTCCCCACTGTCGCTTCAGTGCAGGCTGTGACAAACACGTGGCCCCTGTCCCTGAGTTCCCCCTCCCGCCGAGCTCACCAGTGTGGGTGCCTCCAACCCACTTCAGCCATTTCCCCAGAGCCCCGCCTTCAAATCCTGCCCAGGCGGCAGAATCCCTCAGACAAGAAGGGGAGGCCAGGGGTCTAAGACAGTCCACGTCACAGGCCACTTGAGGGTGGATGAATGGCCGAGGCCACACCATCTATCAGCTCGCCTCCACCGCGGTGCACATATCGCTGAGATGGCAAAGTCGCCCCAGCTGGGCTATTTGTCTCAAACCCAGAGACCAGCGAGGGCTGAGCTTGGGAAAATGCCCTCCCCGTGGTGTTTTCTCCTTTCCTTTCCCTTTTGTCTTTTGCTTCAGTTAATCTTCTCCAAGAAATGTTGCTCTCTTCAATAAAGGTGATTTGTTAAAAGGGTAGCTAACCATGACTAATTTGTATCCCTTTTATCACTGTCTGTGGGTAGATTCACAAACAGGAGACCATGCATACGAAAAGAACATTTTTGAGGTCAACCAGCTCTGGGTTCAGATCCTGACATAGCAGTGGCCTTGTGCTATTTATTACTCAAGCTCCTAGACACTGTTCTCCTGCCTGAAAAGTGGGAATAAAAACAGAGGTGTTGTGTCCCCCCTAAAATCCATATGTTGAAGTCCTCACCGCCCCGCAGTATCTCAGCCCCCTCCATGCCGAGGTGCTCGCCCCTCTTACCTCGCTCCTCCTCCTTCTCCCGGACAGCCCTCCCCTTGAGGGCTCGGCTCCAGGCTCCACCTCCGTAGTCGCCCAGCTTGGCTCTCTCATTCCCATCTTTGCCCTTGAACCAGGGTCCGTGTCCGTATCTGTGGGCGAGGCTCAAGGTTTCCCCCGCGTCCCTGAAGCCTCTGCCCAGATGCCAGTCTCCAAGGAAGGGCAGCTCGGCGCCCTCCGCCGGGGCCCTGGCGGCAGGGCTGGCCTGGTTCTGGGACACGGCCGGCTGGCCCACAAAGCCAGCGTGAAGGAAGACGAGGCTCCCGGCCGTCAGGTAGAGCACCAGGAAGGTAAAGAAACGCACAGGTTTTCGGCGGAAGTACCGCTGGAACTTGAACCAGAGCTTGGCCATAGCGGGATCATTCCGGACTGGCTGGCAGGGGCTTGGCTGGAGGGGCCACAGGGCAGGGATGGAGGGGGCTTCCTTTCCCCAGCTCCCCTTAGGGTTGGAACCCCTGGGAGCCTTCAGTCTTCTTCCTTCTGCGAAGGCAACTGCCAGGATCAGAGCTGGAGGGCGTCTAGCACGTGGCTGAGGCCAAGAGAAAGGAATATGGAACTGGCCAGCCCACCCAAGGTCAAGGTGAGTGTCTTTAGGCCACAAGAGGAGTTTTGAGGCTCAGGATACCCAGGAGTTGGTCCCATTTTCCTACATCTTGTTCTTGGCCTCAGAGAGCCCCAAAGAGCTTTGAGAGGAGCAAGTGGAGGAGGATTCTCAGCTCAGCAGCAGCCACAGTGCCCTCCTCGTCTTTCTCAGCTGCTCAGGCCGGTTGGGGCTGGATTATTTCACTGAGGCTGTTTCCGGCTTCTTTCCCAGCTGGGGACCACGCTCTGTGTGTCCACTCGTGGAAACAGAAGCTGGCGGGCTGCCAGCCGGTCAAGCATCAGGGCCCAGGGCTGCCACCTGCAACGCAGCACAGACACAGGCATGAGAAGCTTCCACACAGAGGCTGGAGCTCGAAGGCTCTTGAACATTTTCAATCATCGATCGGTTGCCTCTGGATCGGTTGCCTCCTGTGTGCACCCCGACCAGGGAACAGCAACCTTTCAGTGCATGGGATGACGCTCAACCAACTGAGCCCCACCAGCCAGAGCCATTTTTTTAAAAAAAATAAAAGTTTAGTGAGCAGCTACTATATGTAGCAGACACTGTCCTGGGTGCTGGAGATAAAGCTGTGAATGAGAATGGCTCACATTCTAGTGGGAGAGATCAAGCCCATGGTCCCTCTCCTTTATCCAAGGAAGAAAAGGGAAAAAAAGGTTTATTTAGCAACATATTCATTCACTACGATTTAGCCTGCTTTGTGCCAAGCCCTCTGTGTATTATCTCATTTAGTCTTCCCCATGGTCCTATTCGAGGTCACTATTTCCCCATTTTACATCTGAGGAAACTGAGGCCACAGACATGGTGAGTGGTGGCATTGGGATTTGAACCCAGGATCATCCAAATGGAAAACCACAGCTCTTAACCACTGCCTTTTTGACCGTGTCCTTTCCCCACGTGGTCTGGACGTCACTTGGGAATTTGGAGACGGTCCCTGAAGCAGCAGCCCATCTGCACTGCCTCCCAGTGACCAGCAGGGGCTCACCCTTTGGACAGGGTCCCTCAGAGTGTGGTCTGAGAAGCATTGGATTCAGAGTCACCTAGAAGCCTGGTTAAAGATACCTGACTTCTCCAACCAGGAGAAGGGAAAATCTAAGGTGTAACGAGGTGCCCTCAGGTGATGGTGATGAGCACAAAGGTTTGAGAACCACTGCTTTAAGAGTAAACCTTCAGGATCATCACCAGGAGAAAAATAGAAGGTAAATTAGAAAAGAGAAAGGAAAACTCAGTTTGGCTGGTGTTGTTTCACATTAACACCAGCAGGGGGCCTCATCACAATCTTGGTCAAAGCATGGATTCAACTATCAGCCACTGGGCCATCTGAATGGTAACAGCCCCTCCTAATCCAGACAGTAGCACGGGAATTTAATTAACTGTGGTTCAAGGTAGAGACGGCCAATCCCCCATATACCTTTCCATTCACCCAGGAACTAAGTACTGAGCACCTACTATGCACCAGTTACTGTTCTGATCAGTGAACAAAACAGCCCCCAATCCATGCTCTGGTGGGGTCAAACTATCTGTTCACCCATAGATCCATCCATTGCTCCATCATCCTTTAATCCATCCATCAGTCCACATACCCATCCATCCATCAAGTCACAATCTATCCACCCATCCATCATCCATTCCTTAATCCAACCATCAATCTACCTACACCTCCATCCACCCACCATTAATCCATCCATCCACCCAGCTGAACTGTAACAGCACATTCATCTATCTAACTCTCCACCTATCCACTCAGCTACCCATTCTTCCATTCATTTAAAAACACGTGTTTCTTGCCTATCTGTGTGTGCTTGGGATGCAGAAATAAATAATGCAGTCTCTGCTTTCAGATAACTCAGAACCTCCCCTGGGAAACAGCAATTTAAATAATCACTACACTAAATCACTGTACAGATAGACAGTGATAAATCCTGTAGTAGATGTAAGTATAAGATATAGAACAGCAATTAATAGGAATAACTCATGTTTGTTGAGCACTTACTGCGTGCCAGACATTGCTCTAAACACATAATACTCTGATTTCATCCTCATAACAATTCTATGAGGGAGATCTGTATGGATTTTACAGAGGAGAGAGATGAGGCTCAGAGAGGTTAGGTAACTTGTCCAGGGCCACACAGTTAGTAAGCGGCAGCTGGGGTGTGAGCCCAGGGCCAGTGGATTTCACAGGCTGTATTCCTAACCTTGTGTCTAGTCTGGACTTGTATCCCTTTGAGAACCTGATGAAAATTACAGACATACGCACAGAAAAGAATGCTTGTACATAGGCACTCAGGTTTGGCTTTACAATGTTAGGGGGTTTGAGGACCAGGGGGTGAGGAGTCCTTGGAATGTGAGAGCCCAGAAAAGTAAGGGTTAGAAAAATAAGGGTCTTTGAGCTGGCACATCTCTCAAGAAGTACACCCCAGGGAGGAGGAACTGCACAGATGAAGGGGGGTTCCTGTGGGGGAAGGAACTTTGGGCATGGTGGGAACACAGGTAAGCAGTGGGCAGGGGCCGGACCGTGGGGAGCCTGGGACGCCAAGCTCAGGAGCCTGGGCTGGGCTCTGGATCACGGGAGTTTTGTGATCACGCTGTCACTTGGAAGCTTCCTGGCAGTGGATGGTGCCTCCTGGTGTTCCATGTGCAAGAACATGCCAGATGTTTTTGCAGCTGGACCAGGATGAGAAAAGGCCAGCAGCCCTCATGGGATGGACAGGGGTCACCAACCCTCCAGAGGCAATCAGGCAAGAGCATGGACTCTGGAGGCAGGCCGACCCGGGTTCAAATCCTGCCTCTCCCACGGGGGCAGACACTCTTTGCACCCACTGAGGTGCCTCATCTGTGA